AAGAAGGAAAATGAAGAGAAAAAAGAAAAAAAAAAAACAAAGAAAATAAAGAGAAAAAGAGAAATAAGAAATTTACTTGAAAAAAATAAGAAAAAAGAAAGAAAAAAAGAAAGAAAGAAAAGAAAGAAAAGAATACGGGAAAAAAGATGGAAAGAAAAAACTTTTGAAGAGAAAGAAATTAAGAAAGAAAAGAAATTTTCGAAAAGAAAGAAAGAAAAAAGAAAAGAAAAAAAGAAAGAAAGAAGAAAAGAAAGAAAGAAAGAAATGAATTAGAAAAACAAAATTTGGAAAGAAAGAATGAAAAAGAAAAAGAAACTAGAAAAGAAAGAAATTAAAGAAAGAAAAAAGAAAGAAAGAAAAGGAAGAAAGAATGAAATTTTGTTAAAAACAAAAGAAATAAAAATGCATATAAAGAAAGAAAAAAAAAAAGAAAGAAAAGAAAAATGAGAAAGAAAGAAACAAAATGATAAAGAAAAGGAAAAAAAAAGAAAAACAAAAAAGAAAAAAGAAAGAAAGAAAAAAAAGAAAAAATGAAAAAAGAAAAAAGAAAGAAAAGCAGCTCTCCATAAGAAATAAGAAAGAAAGAAAAAAAGGAAAAAAAAAAAGAAAATTAGGAAAGAAAAAGAAAGAAAGCGCTTCCAAAGAAAGAAAAATTTTTAAAACGAAATTGAAAGAAAAAAAAAAAAAAAACAAGAAAGAAATAGAAAAGAAAAGAAAGAAAGAAAAAAAAAGAAAAAGAAGAAAGAAAAAATTCAAGAAAGGTTTGCCTATCATTAAACGAAAAGGAAAAAAAAAGAAAGAAAGAAATAAAGAAAGAAAGAAAGAAAGAAATACAAAAAAAAACGATTTATCTTAAGAAAGAAAGAAAATAACAAGGACAAAAATAATGGAAAGAAAGAAAGTTTTTTAAAGAAATAAAGAAAGATTTAAAGAAAATTTTTTAAGAAAGAAAGAAAAAAGAAAAACAAAGAAAGAAAACTAAAGAAAAGAAAAAAAAGAATTAACTATTTAACATAAGAAAGAAAAAAATAAAGAAAGAAAGAAAGAACTCAGACGTTTGTACCAAGAAAAAAAAAAAAAAAAAAAAAAGAAATTTTCCATATTCAAAACAAAGAAATTGGTGAATAAAAAGAAAGATTTTTCAGATGAATAATGGAGTAATTCGAAAAAGAAAGAAAGAAATTTTTTAACACTTAAAGAAAGAAAGACCGAGAAAAAAATTTAAAGGAACTTCGAGTTTTTTTTTTTTGCTTTCAAATTTCAAAAGATAAACATCATTTTTAAATGAAAGAAAAAAGATAGAAAAAAGACAAAGATAGAGACGTAAATTCTAAGAGAAAAAAAGATAGCAAAAAATGAAGAAAGATTTTTTGATCTAAAAGAATGAAAATAATTAAATGAAATTAAAGAAAAAATGAAGTTATAAAGATAGTAAGTTTAAAGATAGTGTATGATTTGCCTTAATGATCATAGAAACCTGTCAATGCTTCCAGAAAGAATATACCCCAGAGAATGAAAGAAATTAAACATTAAAGAATAGATCGAATGGTGAAAAGAACCTTTAACCGAAACCTAGATAGATAGAAAGAGAGAAAGAGAGAAAGAAAAGAAAGAAAAGATAAAGATTTTTCAAAAAACTCCTTTTGATAAAAAAAAATTATTGAAAGAAAGAAAGAAAGAAAAAAGAAAGATAAATTTTTTTTAAAGAAAAATGAAATGATAAAATAGTGAAATTTATATAAAACAGCTTGTATAACAAGGGATTTTAGAAGAAATAAGTAAAGAAAGATAAGAAAATGCATGTTATCTAACGCTTAAAGAAGAGAGATTGAAAAGCAAAACAAGACAAACCCCTCTACAAGAAAGGTGCTTTTCTTAAAAAGGGACAAAGAAAAGTGTTCTTTAGGATAAAGAGTTTTTCTTTTGAAAGAAAAACAAAAGACAAACCAAACAAGAAAAATCATAGAACTTAAAGAATACAACTTAAATTTTGTAAGAAAGAAATTTAAAAAACGAAAAAGACAATGTTTGTCAGTTAAATTATTGCACTAAAATATTTAAGAAGAAAATTAGAAAGAAAGGAAACAAATAAAAATCTAATTATTTCCCATATATCAAAAATATTTATTTATAAATCCAAAAATACATGAAAAAGCAAAATATTAAGAAAAATTCCTGAGAATGAATAATTTAAATTTCATATAAGATTTTCTTTTAACGAAGTATTTTTAAATAAATGAAAAAACATAAATAAAACGAACAAAGTTTATAATATAGAAAAAATAGATATCCTATAGAAAGATAAAAGGATAATAACAGAATAATATAAGAAAATATAAAAGATAGATAAATAGATGATAAAAGAAAAAACGATAGAACCGAAAAAAAGATAGATTAAAGAGGGAGATAGATAGAAGAAAGAGAAGAAATCGTGAAGACTTTCCGAAGGACAGACTTCTTATGAACAGAGAAAAAATAAGATAGAAAGAAAAGCCCAAAACTAAAAGAAAAAGATGAAGATAAAAACTTAAGAAATTATAAAATAGAAAGATATGAAAAAAAAGAAAGAAATTTCAAAGGAAAAAAAGATGAATTCCCTGGCATATAAATTACCTGATTCTAAATATAAATGCAGAAAAACTTTTTTTAAATGAGATTTTTTAAAAAAGAAAATTATAGAAAGAAAGCATTAACGATTTTTGTTTTTATTAAGATTTGAAATTATTTTACTGGTTCATTGATTCTTATTAACTTTCTAAGAAAGAAAAAAAAAAGAAAATAAGTTTTTTAGAAAAAACAGAAAAAAATAAAAATTTTGTTTTTTGTCAAAATTCATATGGTTTGAATCAATCCTAAAGAGAAAAATTTATCTGTGAAATAAAAAAATAATATATTTTTGTTTCTAAAAATTATTTTAAGAAACAGATAAAAATTTATTAAGTAAATAAAATAATGTCAAATTCGAACATTTCTAATTTTTTTGAATTTACAATAAATCAATGATAAAAAAAAAGAAATGTTCAATTTGAAAGAAAATCAAGAAAAGAAAATTAAACCTTTTTGTAAATTTTCTTCTTTAATCAAATATAGAAGCATTTTAAGAAAAACAAATACAAAAATTTTATAATGTTTATAATTATTTCATTTTATTTTTTAAAATCACTATTAAGGAAAGAAAGAAGAATCGAAGAATAGTGAAAGTAAAATTGAATTAATGAGCTTTTACGTTACCTCTTTGAATTGCTATAAAATTATTCAGTTTAATAGTACAAAAAATAAATAAATTAGTTTATATAATTCCTTATAAATATATAAAAAATCAAGAATTAAAGAAATGTGTTTTAAAACAAATAAATTTAGAATGAAATCATATATTACTGTAATATTTTTGATATTGCTTATTGTCCTGAATGACAACCTTGAAAGGGTGAAATATACTCTAATTCAGCAGTTTAAAAATCCAAGAAAAAATTCACCAATTAAAATTTTCATAAATTGGCCGTTTCCCCAATTTGTGAAATATATAATTTTCAAATATCGAAAAGATAAGTATATATATATATCCTAAATTTTGAACGTGATTTTTGTTTGCAATCAAATACCTTTCCTTTTTTTATCAAAAAAATTTATATAATAAACAGAAATATAAAATAAATTCTTTTTAAGATAGGAAGTAAAATCTTTAATTTCAATGCACTGTTTTTTATAAAAAATTAAAAAGAAATCAGGGCCAAAAATTATAAATTTTTTAGTTCTACAAAGAAAGAAAAATATTCGTCCTCATTCTCAGTAGCGGGATTGAAAATCATTTTACATTTTTTCAAGTAAGACAGGTTTGGCTACAGATACAAAATCTGTTAAAGACAAATAATTCAACATTAAAAAACCGAACGCTTTTCTGTTGTTTTGGAAATTTTTTTCAAAGAACTATTGAATGAAGGTTCTTAAATTTTACATTCCGAATCCTTTTCATTTCACAAAATTAACATGACATTCCGTTATAGTAAAAAAAATGTTGTAAAAAACTATTATATTGTAAAACAGTAACATTAATTGGAGAATTTTAGAAAAATAAAAGAAAAAAATCAAAAACATCCTGAAATTTTATCAACGTGACATGACTAAAACGCAGTACTGAAAAAATTAACTTTTAAATTGAATACATTTTTTGCAATTTTTTTTTCTTTTGAATTTGTTAATGCAGTTTGTTTTTTCGGGTTCAGGATTAATCCTTGATTAAAGAAAAAACCTTTAAAAATCAACAAAGTTAATTCTGAAAATTTTCATAGTTAAATTTTCCCAAACATAAATAAAAGCCAAATTTATTTCAAAATTTCAGAATAAAAATGAATTAAAATTATCCTATTGCATTTGTGTTAATTTGTGAATACGCCAAATAATATTTCAATAAAAATGAACCTGGCAGTTTTCTGTTTAATTGATTTAAAAATTAAAATGTAAAATAATAAAATAAGGATAAAAAATAGATATTAACTTAAACTTTTGAAATTTATTTTTAATCAACATCAAAATGGAATATTCTGTTAAAAAAATATAAAAAATTTTGAGGTATTAAAGTTCAATTTATATTGTCAACTTCAAATTAACATCAATGCCAAATGGATTTATGGTTCGGCTTTCTTTTGATAATGTAAATAATTTGAGATGAGGTATTATTGTACCTTATTTAAATTATTCGACTATTGTCCCCATCTTTGTCGCCAATTTTCAAACAAAATTTCGGCCCTTCAGAATCTTTCTATAAATTTTTGAGATGAGGTATTATCAACACTATTTACATTATTCGGACTATTGTCCCATCTTTGTCGCTTTTTATTAAATAAAAGTTTTATCTTTAAACACGAGTATCTGGTTGTTATATTTCTTTTATGATTAATTTTGTTTTTTATTTTACATTATTCGACCATTGTCCTTTTTTGTCGCCATATTTATTATAAACGTTTCGTTTGATTTCAGTATCTGTTCATTTTACGATGAGGTATTATTTTAAACTATTTACATTATTCAACTATTGTCCTCATCTTTTGTCGCCATATTTATTACATCGTTTCCAAAAGTATCTGTTCTTATTTCTGAGATGAGGTATTATGTACACTATTTACATTATTCGACTATTGTCCCCATCTTTGTCGCCATATTTATTACAAATGTTTCGGCCTTTCAGTATCTATTTATTTCTGAGATGAGGTATTATGTACATATTTATATTAATAAACTATTGTCCCTCATCTTTGTCGCCATATTTATTCACAACGTTTCGAAAAAAAGTATCTGTCTATATTTTGAGATGAGGTATTATGTACACTATTTATATTATTCGACTATTGTCCTTTCTTTGTCGCCATATTTATTACAACGTTTCGGCCCCTTCAGTATCTGTCTATATTTTGAGATGAGGTATTATGTAGTCTATTTACATTATTCGACTATTGTCCCCATCTTTGTCGCCATATTTATTACAAATTTTTATCAGTATCTGTCTATATTTCTGAGATGAGGTATTAAAATACATTTTATTACATTATTCGGACTATTGTCCCCATCTTTGTCGCCATATTTTATTAAACGTTTCGGCCCTTCAGTATCTGTCTATATTTTGAGATGATATATTATGTACACTATTTACATTATTCGGACTATTGTCCCTATCTTTGTCGCCATATTTATTACAACGTTTCGGCCCTTCAGTATCTGTCTATATTTCTGAGATGAGGTATTATGTAATTATTTTACATTTCGGACTATTGTCCTCATCTTTTCGCCATATTTATTAAAACGTTTCGGCCTTTACTTATCTGTTTCTATTTTGAGATGAGGTATTATGTAAAAAAGCCCTATATTATTCGGAAATATTAATTTAGATCTTTTCTATATTATTATAAATGTATTCGGGATAAAAGTTATCAATTTGATTGATATTCAGAAAGATAGATAAAATTGTAGATAAAATTTACATTATTTGAAATTGTCCTCATATTTGTCAAGCCATATTTATTAAAACGTTTATGCGCCAATTTCAAATGTATTAAATAATATTTATGAATATAAATACCAGTCTATATAAATTCCCAAATTATTCCGACTATTGTAAACAAAACGTTTTAACAGGATCATTTAAACAAAAAATGTAGAAATTTAATATGGCAGATTTATAATATCTTAGATGAACAATTTCGGGATTTTACAGTATTTGACTTGGACGATGGCTTATTGAATTTGTAAATAGAAAGATGATTGAGAACAATTGATAATTTACCTAAACCATATATATTTGGAGCTAAAATAATATACACAACATTTATATATTCGACATTTGATCATATATAAAAATTTATTAATTTAAAAAAATAAAAGGTTTAATATATTTATATTTAAATATACAATATAAATTAATTAGTTTAATTTTATATTGTATAATGATAAAATTTTTTTTATTCATATATATATATATATATATATAATATATATATATATATAAAATATTTATATTTAAAATATATTAAAATGTATCTTTATATTGTTTCAATTTTTATATATCTATATATATATATATATATATATATATATATATTTTTGAAACTTGACTAATGCATGGAATAATAATAATAACACAAAATGTACTTAGAACAAAAATGTATTGAAACAAGAAAGTGTACACAATATTTACATATAGTCTTTTGTATATTCCTGGTAAGACCGTTCCTGGAGAATGTGTTGACTGAGTCGCAGTCGGGCAGAGTCTCTGGTTGAATCTCTTGATTCCTTCCCTCTCTTCCCGGTACCAACCATATTTATATGGTCGGTACTCCACTATGCAAATTAGGTGGATCCTACCACAACATTTTCTACATAATTCTTTTTCAAAACTCCAAAAAAAAAATATTTTTTTTATTTTCAATTTCAAAAGTCTTATTGAAAATGATTCATTCGCCATAAATTCTAAAATGTTTTCTTTCACATATATTTTTTCATCAATTAAAAATTTTTGTCATGTTCATTTATTCTTTCTGTTTAGTAGCAACAGAACATTTTCATCAAGTTCCCATTCTTTTGCTTCAATATAAAAATAAAAAATAATTTATAAAAATATTCAATGAAAAAAGAAAATCGTACACAAAATTAATTTTTATCCATTATTATATTTTTAAAAAAAAAGTTCCATTGTGTTTGATTTTCAAGACGAATTTTGTTTAAGAAAATAAATCTTTTGACGCCCACCTGCAAAAAAATTAAATAATCTTATTTCAAAATATTATTTCGTTAGAAAAATTTTTGAACCTTCAATTATTTTTTTCAATTTATTTTGCGACGTATTGAATGTTAGAATATAATTGACGATTTATCATATAGCGACCATCACCAGATAAAATGGGAACGATTTTACTGTTTTTTCCCTCCCGACAAAAAATTTGATACTAAGGAAAATTGCTTTTAGAATAAATTAGAGGCGGAGGAATAAAAAATTTGAACTTAATGAAT